CCCCCCCCCCCCATTCAAAGCCATCTCATTCACAAGAATCTACCTCACTGGAGCCACCGCCTTCTAAAACCCACCACTTGCTATTAGCATGACAAAAGGGAGATCGTTTATCACATTTACTAATGGAGATGGTTTGGGGGACGGTGGAAAAGCACATTACAAGTTCTCTTCTACTTGTATGCAAGTGTAGAATGTTGCATCTGTCCCCTGCTCTTCTAATGCATTTACCTCACACCTTTACAGATTAGGTTAGGTTTCGACGTCTATTTGTTGTGCCTTCATCGGTATGAGGACATGAAGATGGAAAGGTGGCTAATGGTGCTTATTTAATCTTGGAGCTGCTGTTTTTTTCTTTTTGTAATTAAGGAACAATTTTACCGGTAGTCATTAAACCCAAACGAAAAAGTTAGAAAGACTTAACTCAGCGAGGCTCATAATTCATACTCGAGCAGACGCATATATGGAAAAAAATCAAATCTAAAACTTCTTGACGATGGTGAAGAGTCAATTGAATAAAATTTTTCTTGGATATTATCCATCGTCTAGTAAATATAAAACGTAAAACGACGTTTCGGAGATGGGACTCTATCTCCGTCTTCAGGTTCCTACTCAGTTGGGCCCACTAGATAGAGCTAATCCCTGTCTCCGGGATTATATTTCCTTCAGTCTTAGAGGTCTGACGGCCCGCTACTAACCAGACAGAGTATTCAGTACTGCTTTTTCAGAGTGTGAGAGCCTTATTGTTAGTGTACGCACATAGAACGGCCAAGCACTTGAGTTAAGACTGCAACGAAATTATGATAAGGGATATAAGTGCTTCTTATATTCTGCACTACAGTGACTCTTAAGACAATGAATGTAGCACAAGCCGAGAGTGCGCGCTGTGACTACAGTAAAATTGGTTGGTCAGTGGACAGAGTCCGGGAGAGGAATTAATGATTTTATCACCATTTCTTACAAAATCCTAATGAATTAAGGGTTCAATCACTTCATAACCAGCTTCCTGTTGCCTCATAGAGGCATTACAATAACGTGAAAATTTCACACCCGTGTGATTATTCCGACTGCCTTTATCCATTGTCCGAGAGTTTTTAAATTAAAACACAAACTTTCCTGTAGTCGGTACTACTTCCTTCCTCAAGTGACCGGTGGGAGGACAAAATATTATTCTGCTGCAATCCTCTCATTTGCCACCTGAAGAAGGAAGTAGAACAGATGTATGATTTGAGGTTTTCACAGCGGAGATTATGAAGATTTCTGTCTTCTGGGTTGATACGCCGTGTAGTCTGGTAGATGTTTACCAACGTTTCAGAGGTCATACTGCCTCCGTCATCAGGGTAAACATCTATCATACTACACGGCGCAAGAACCCAGAAGACAGAAATCTTCAAATAGAACAGACTTTCAGAACATTGTAGGTTTTAATTAAGAAGTCAGACGACGGTTAATTTCCGATAGAATAATTATTCGAGTTGCTGCACCATCGTCCAACATTAAAATTTGCTTACACCAACAAATGTCCGTTGTTTTAGCCGTACCTGTGGAATTCCGAACATTTTGGAGCTCCCGTTATGTGGATCCTGATTCACTGTCACTCTGAAATGGACTGATGCTATTTTATGTCCACGCACCCTTTTATACTAAAAATCGTAGCCGGGGTATTGCTCAAAGCGTCCACCACTCACATTCCTTCTAAAACTGCAATGTACGCCGGAGTAAGTTAAACTTTTTTTTTCCTATTATGCCAATGGCTTTGTTATACGTAGCCGTTGAATGTTATGCAGAACCAAGGTCAGTTTTCCCATAAGGTAGCAGCCACGTAATGTATAAGCTTCCTCCGCCCCAGTAACAAAACGGGGCAAGACATTCACTTTCACTTGTTCTTCGCCGCTTACAGAGCAGAGACAGTGGTCAGTTCGCCTCGTGCGGGGACCCACTACGAACCACACGCCTCTGTTTCTGTAGGAAAGAATTTCTTCACTTTGCCACTTTTTATTTCTGAAACGCATTCATTCATATTTTTATTTATCCAAACCTTTTATCCTTACATTAATTTAGCGTTAACCAAATAATCGAGATTTCAAGTTTTCACGACTGTCAGTCTGAAGATGTCTGTCTTCTGGGTTGTTGCGCCGTGTACTCTGCTCTGGTAGAAGTTGGAGATTCTTATTGTTTCTGATAATGGAGGCAGAAAGAATCTCTGAAATGTAAGACTTGATGTTCTCACAGCGGTGAGTATGAAGATATCCGTCTTCTGGGTTATTGCGCTGTGGAGTCTGGTCGATGTTTACCAACGTTTCAGAGGTCATACTGCCTCCGTCATCAGAGTATGAAGATTTCTGTCTTCTGGGTTGTTGCGCTGTGTAGTCTGGTCGATGTTAACCAACGTTTCAGAGGGCATACTGCCTCCGTCATCAGGGCGATGAGTATGAAGATTTCTGTCTTCTGGGTTGTTGCGCTGTGTAGTCTGGTCGATGTTAACCAACGTTTCAGAGGGCATACTGCCTCCGTCATCAGGGCGATGAGTATGAAGATTTCTGTCTTCTGGGTTGTTGCGCTGTGTAGTCTGGTCGATGTTAACCAACGTTTCAGAGGGCATACTGCCTCCGTCATCAGGGCGATAACCCAGAAGACGGATATCTTCAATCTCTGAAATGTCTGTAAACTTCTACGAGACTACATAGTGGAACAACCGAATATACAGCCACCCTCAAATAATTACTTAATTCAACTTCTTAATGATTGATTAACATCGTAGCAGCATTTTGTAAGACACAAAACATGGGTACTGTTACATGTCGTCGGGGCTTGAATTCTATTGGACGCTGTAAAAGTGTTAAAATACGCTCGTACCTCGTGAAATTAATTCGCCTTACATTTAGAATTTATCGTGTTTGACGTTTTGCATATTTGTTTCTCGTTATTAGATTTTTTTCAAACAAAGAATGATTCGATAATGCAAATCGGAGACTTGAAAATCTTAGAGATGCAGGCTGTGATATTGACCACTATTTTGTGGTTGCAGAACTTATGATGTGGCTATCGGTAATTAAACGAGAATCACGCAAGTTTGATGTTCATATATTTCATCTTAACCAGTTAAACGATGTAGACTTTAGGGAGCATTGACAGGCCTAATTCCCAAACAGGTTTTCATCTTCGTAAAATTTGGACGATGCTGTGGACATCAGTAGGATTTGATAAATATTAGCGATAAAAGGAATTTTCTGCCAAGAAAAGTTTAGGTTATATGACTTGATAAAGCATTGTAAACCATGATTTCGCTAAGAATTTTTAAAATTATTAGACAGAATTAAACAAAATTGCTAACGATGTGTCATGAAAGCCAAATGAATCATATAATCTGAATAAGAGAAAGATATTAGAAACTTTACAGAACAAAGTGAACTTCTAGGAAATTCCTTGGCGAAGATAAGAATGACGGTCTGCTTGTAGATTCCCACATTTGTTATGAATCGAACGAAAAATGTTACTTTTCAGCTGTTGAATGTACAAGACATTAAGAGTGTTGACAAATAGATATACGTAAAACTGGACAATTACAACCAAAACCTCGTTAATTTGAGGCTGAAATTGATAGTTAAAAGTTCAATATATGTCGCACGTTTTGGTCATATCCGTAGATTTGATCCAATCTGGATATAAAAAATCATGTTCTGAGATGCACAAACTTATTTTTTTCTATTTGGAACATAGAAGAATTGCCATAACAGTGAAATAATTTTATACCTTTGCGTATGTATAGGGAGGATGATAGAAATTGACTATAGTAATCACTGAGGAATATTACTATTTGGAACATAGAATAATTGACATAACAGTAAAATAATTTTATCACTATTCTTATGTATAAGGAGGATGATAGAAACTGACTATAGTAATCACTGAGGAATATTAATGTTATCACCTTTCAAAAATCTGTCAAATATTTTTTTCACAAGGTTAACTCCATACATAGATACAATTTTTGTGTACCATCATTGTGAATCTCGGTGTAATTCATCACCGACGGATCAGGCAATCTGTGAGAGACTCTCTTAGTAAAAATTGAAGTGCAATAAGATAGAACATCAGATAATTACAGTCTTCAAGAAAGCCTAAGATTCGGTTGTGAGAGCGGTACTTCACAACGTTCTTATTGAATTAAACATACCCATGAAAATAGGACAATTAAAACGTGTTTTTACAAATCCCACAATAAAGTCCGTAAATGTCGGATGAAGCTCCTCTTTGACTTTGCATCAGAACGTGCCATCAAGATACATCAAGT